TTTTGGTTATGCTGCTATTGTGCAGCAATCATTGGATGTCGTGCTAACTGATGCAGTCTCGCTGTTTTGTTGTCTACCTATAGCCGTCTACTCAGAAATACTGATAGGAAATGATGCTGTTGAGTATTCACAGGAGTCACCTGAAAAAGTTTTTGGTTTTGACACTTTCCGCGTGTCAAAGAGACACTCTAGGTTTCAGAGAAATCCTTTAAAAACTAGAAGCTACTATTTTGGAGTGCTATACCAAGAATTTTGGGACTGAGAAGGCAATGTAATTTTAATGGTACAGCTTACCTATTAGTAAAGGTAGTTTAGCTACTCCAACATGCTAATGAGAACACAGTGCAAAGCAATTCCTTATGCTAGTGATAGGCTACCATATCACTCCTGGCATATAACTTCTTGGGTAATATTAGCAGTTCACTTTTCAGACATACACCGCACTGTAAGTGACCAGCAGAGCCTTTAGACTCCATGGAGGAACAGAGCTCCTTTCTGAAATTTTTTCGGCCACTGTAAAATAAATAAAGTCAAGAACAGGAGGGGCTGTCCTCTAGTTTCTCTAGTTTAAAATAGAAGTATCTATCTCAAGAACAGGTGTCAAATGAAAACTGAGTTGTGTAGCCCTATTTTCAAGCAAGTCCATTATGTTATAGAATGATTTGTTCTCCTTTATTGTCACATAAAGAGGGCACCTTGACTCAATGTGATGATTGTTAACTGTGAAGAGCAGAGCAGAATTTAGAGAGATAAGTCTTGTATAAGTCCTGTGAGCAGGTTTCACAGAAGTCTTAATCTTGCCTCTTTAGACCTGGTGGGTGTTGTCGCAGATTCGCTTTTAAATTTATGAATAAAGCAGCTTCACGGAATGACTATGAACTTTGCATATAGAATACAGTTTTTAATATACTTAATTTAAGAATTATTTCCATGGAGGCTGTAAGTTTTCTTTTAAATTCTCTTGTAACAGCCTATTACACAATTTTTGCTATATTTTTCTACAGAAATATGAAGCAAAGGGCAATGAGAAATTCACGTGAGCACTGTATAAGTAATCAGTTTCTACTGGGCTATCAGGCCTGAATTATATGCTATTTATTCCCGGCTTTCTTCAGCATAATTGACAGTTGTGGCCAGCTTCATGTTGCTGACAAATGTTTACTGGAAAGTGTCCACCTGAAACGTCTTTCTAATTTGTGAACTGAACAGAATTTGCGCTTATGCACAGATGAGAAATGGACTGACTTGCTTGTCATTTACTCCAAAATGATTTTCTGTGTGCACTCAGTCCTTTTGTCCCTAGGCATCCCTTCTCTAAATGAGACAAAAAGTAAGATAAGCTTGTAAAATAATTGGCTAGATTTCACTTGTGTTCTTCTGTGGTCATAGAAAGAAAAGAAATAGATTTATCAAGGTTAAAATACTGTATTCTTACAAACACTTTAATACTAAATCAGCAACCTGAACTAATGGACACTGAGTGAGCATAGGCATCTCGTAAGGAAAAATAATAATAATAAAAATCCTTCTTTATTCTTCTGTACTGCATTTTGGTACAATTCAGCTACTGCTGTGCTGAAAAGAGGTGTTTCAGACTCTTACAGTGCTATTGTGAAGGAACTATGCTGGAGCTGCCTTCAGTGGAGATTTTGAGAGCAGAGTTGTTGAATTTCTAATTTGTGTTCTTGTTCACAATAAAATAAGACATTAAAATCCCCCCCAAAATTATTTGAGATGCTTAGGTAATGCTTAGGATAA